CAGCTAAGCAGAACGTGGCGAAACTTAAAATACCCTCTGGAGTTCTGTCTGGAATTGACCCTTTGCTCGTTTTTTACCTTGCCAAGCCTGCAGTCAGTGTAATCTGGAATCTTGAGTCTTAGTCTAAGTAGAACCTTGAATCTTCTTGTGTGTCACTGAGTCAGAAGCAACCCATAACTGACCTTCCAAGTGGGTTTTCAGAGGCAAGATTGTAGGAAGACTCATCAACAACCTAAATTATCCAGATGACACAACCTTACTTGCTGAAACAGAGGAGGACCTGAAGCATCTGCTGCGGAACTCAACATCAAGAAGACATTCTCACCACTGAGCCGATTGGCAGCACCATGACAGATGGAGAAGAGATTGAGGTTGTTAAAAATTTCAGCTTGCTTAGCTCCACAATCAACATTCTTGGCGCCAGCAGTCAGGAAATCAAAAGATGAATTGCACTGGGAAAATCTTTGTCAGGAACCTCTCTAGAGAAAAGCAACAATGTCAGTCTAGAGACTAAAATGGCCTAATCCAGGCCGTGGTCTTCACCATTACTTGCTGTGCACCAGAGAGCTAGACAATGACTAAAGAAGACAGAGTAGATGCCTTAGAGTTGTGGTGCTGGAGAAGTCTTGAACATATCATGGACTGCCAAGAAAACAAGTCTTTCTTGGAGAGGGTTAAACCAAGTTTCTCCTTGGAGGCTAGGACTTTGAAGCTTTATTTCACATATTTTGGGCACGTGGCCAGGAGGGACCAGTCCTCGGAGAAGGGCTTCATGCTCAGAAGGGTGGAGGGACGGCACAGGAGAGGAAGACCCCAAGTGTGATGGATTGATACAGTAACTGGGGAAACAGAGTTAGGTGTGTTGAATCAGTAAGACAGGCTCAGGACAGGGCAGGCTTCAGAACTGCTGTACACAGGGTCACTATGGGTCGCAGGCGGCTTTTCAGCACATAACAACAAATCCTTGAGAGGAGATTGCTCACCCTTCTCCCACAGAGCAGGATCCTTTGGGATTGCAGCACAGCTTGGCCACAAGAGCTTCCTTTGAAACTTAATGAAGAAGAAAAATGTTTGCTGTTGATTGTCTTCGAGTCGAGCATGACTCACAGCGACCCTATGAACAAAAGCCTTCCTATAACTGCCGACATTTATCAAAGTTCATAAGAGTTTGCAGAGGCATGTGGTTTAGGAGGTGGGTGACACTCCTGCTTCCAAACTTGTATTAAACTGAGAGCTCCACCAAACACTTCCCACCATGGGTAACGTTTATGGTGATTGACACGCCAATGGCACAAGGTTCAGCATCACAGCACCCCAGGTTACCTCAGTACAGCAATAGTTGATTACAAATATCCACATTCAGGAGAAAGATAGACAATCTCCCACATGATACGGAAGAGTTAGTTAATGAGTCAGCTCTGACTGAAAAGCACATAACCACCACCTATGCATTCAGTGGCATCAAAGACCACTCAAAAAACCAAAAGCTTCCATTTTAATTCATAGGAGATCCTATTATTTCCTTGATTTTAGGTCACACAACTTCATATATTAACACTTGAGAACAGGGCTGTATCTTTCAAAAGATGTTTACATGCAGCATGGTCTTTTTCCCCCCTTTGAAATATGCTAAAGTTACATCATACAATCAAGTCTGTTGAGATTGAAGAACTCTAGTCCTCTGGAGAAGATACTACCAGACTTCAGTTGGGAAAGGAGGCTAGGGTACAGATGGCATTTTCTGCTTCTGTCAGCACGTCTCAGTTCCTGGCATGTCACCTGATCTGGCCCTCCCCATTCACGCACACCACTCCAGCACCACAGTTCACTGCCAGCTTCTGTCTCTGCACCATGAGTCAAATTCTTGGTAGAACTGGGAAACCTCCCCTTATCTTCAAGCCAGTCATGCAGCTGACATAGCCAGGATCTAACTCAACTGGCCTTGAAGCATGAGGCTTAGGTACTTTGAGAAATGAGCCAAAGCGTTTAAAAGGCATGTAAAGCCTATTTTAATAAAACGTGTGTGATGTACTCCTGGTATTGACTAGTCGCAGCCCAAAGGAGGCTTCCAGTTGGTTTCAGAAATGAACTTAAGTCAGAATGGAGGCAGCCAGACCATCATGATGGGACCACTTACTCCTTTGCTTTAAGAGCAGAGTGCACAGTTTTCACTGGCTGCCTTCAGCCATTGTGATCTATAGTGGTCCTGAGGCCCATCTCGCCACAAGGACTCCCCTGGGCCCTCCGAGGCCTCAGCAGGCCTCCCTGCCTCACTCTGCTTTCACCTGCTTGACTTAGGAGCATCCTGACCTGCCTGCAGGGTGAAACTGTGGCCTTTCATGTGATGTGGCCACAATCCAATGGCAGAACTTTACATCACTAATTCGCCTTCTCCTTGGTAACCAGCAATGCCTTGGATTGAATTCACTCTGAGGCCGGATGAATGCCTTCTCAGTGTGAAGGCCTGTAAGCAGTACTGTTGGAATCTCAAAGTCTTAGAAGCTTTAATGGCTGAGCTTCAGTGGGCTAGTGGGTAAGGGATTACACTGCCAACCCAGAAGCACACTGTTCAAATCTACTAGCTGCTCTGTGAAGAAAGATGGACAATCTTCTCTTGTGTAGTTTACTGCCTCTCAAAGCCCACTGGAGGGTCAGCTGTGAGTCAGGCCCAGCTTGACAGTTCATAACAGCAATGGCTGAAGTAGCGCTAGTGGGTCTCGGCAGTGACTAAGCGCTTGGTTACTAACTGAAGAGTCAGTGGTTTGAACCCATCAGCTGCTCCTCAGTAGACAGACCATCTCCCCATAACGATTCACAGCATGAAACCCTTAAAGAACAGTCCTCTGTCTTACAGGGTCCCCATGAGTCAGGATCAACTCAGTGCGAACAGATTTTATTTTGGTTTCAACAGCCATACCTTGGAGTTTGTGCAAAACAAGTAAAAGTACTGATTTCAAAATCTTTACCCGAAATTAGAGGAGTGCTGCTAGTGTGGAGCCAAACACTGGGCTGTTGGCCAAAGACCAGCCCTTCCTGCAGACATCACGTGGAACCCACTGGAGGTGGAAGGCCACCTTGAGTTCAGATCAACTTGACAGCAAATGGCTCTGCAGGTGTGCAACAGGCTGAAAGGTTGACAACTCAAAGTCAATTGCTCCCTCAATCAGGTGGACTGACATGGTGGCTGCCCCAATGGGCTCTAGTGTGTCAGGAAGTGTGAGCATGACACAGGATGGGACAGGATTCAGATCTGTGTTCATGAGGTTGCTATCGGTCATACTAGACTTGACAGCACATAACAACAGTGTCAAGAGTGTTGGTTGTGGATTTGACCAGGATGTGATTGTTGGCAGCCTCGGTCTTTTCTCCATCATGGTACTGCCATTTGACCTGGTCTTGAGGATCTTGTTTTTGCAACATTGGGATGCAATCTATCCCAACAGTACTGGACCACAGTACTGGACCTTCTGACCAAATAATAACCACCCAGAAATCTCTTTGAAAAATTCAGTTGCTGCAGGTTAAAACCTACAGCACACAACAGTCAGTAGGCTTGGTGAGTCAGGTCCTTTCTTCAACTAACAGACATGCTGTTGGGGATATGGCCACCTTTTAAGCCCTCAGTTCTCCCCTCCTCCAAGTCATGGCAGCGTTTGTTCTGTGGCATCAGCTGCTGTTTCTACCTCAGACACCCTCTGCTCAACAGGATGCCTGGATGCTGGTCTGGTCTTGTCCCCATGTCCACAGGCTGGCAGAGCTAAGGGGCTCCAGGCTAAGTCCCAGGCTGGTCCTGGCACAGGGAGCCGCACTGGGCACCACCACCATCTAGCCGGCCCTCTATGCACCTGTGTTCACCCACATGCTCCCCAGAACCACCCCATCCTTTCCTGGGAATCTCAGGTTTCCCTACAGCAAAGGCAGCAAGCAATTCCCTGACGAATGAATTACCACTTCAGGCTCAACTGCTAAAAAACAAAGCTGACCACAAACCATTGCCACTGCACCATTTATTACGCAAAATAGCATGGCTTCAGCAAACCAGTATAAATTAAAACCAAGCAAAGCAGGAGGGTGGTTCTCCAACGTGGCCACATGCCCTTGAATTGCAGAGATGTTCCAGAAGTGCTCTGGGGTTACCAAGGGCCATGGTCCAATGGGATCTTCACATGTCGGAGAGGTGCTGGGCCCTAAGGCCGGCACATTCAGAGTGTAAGGTGAACTCAGAAAACATAGTCTTGCTCCCTCCTCTCAACCCCTCACCCTTCCTGTTCTTACACTGGCTGGTTTACATCTCATTTCCCCTGTGAGCTCCATGTAAGCACGGGCAACCTTGTTCATCTTTGGGTCCCTGCAGTCTCTTGTCCTAACGAGGCCCTTGCTGACTCCTCCTGCCCTCCCTTGGCCGCTTCTGGACATTGCAGGCTTGCCTGGACTCTGCCCATCTTCCCCTCTGCTTGGCCCTCCGCTCGAGGAGACACAACAGCCTCTTCGGCTCGATCACACATTACCTTGAAAGTTGACAACAGAAGCTAAATTTACAGCAGGAGTGAAGCCACTCATACAGAAGCAGAGCAGGACAGGCTGTGGGGACATATGTAACATTTGGGGGTTCTCTGGGGACTTTACAAGACATAGACTTCACTGTTGAGGTGGGATGTACCCATCTCCTGGGGCAGAGCACCGCACCACTGGAAGAGGGAGGGTCACTGTCACCAACAAGCCGGGAAATCTGAGGCATGCCACATTCGCAGCTGGCTTGTCAAAAACAGGACCATGACCCCAGAAGACACACTCCCAGAGAGTCCAGGGACAATGGTCTTTAGATAGTTTGGAAATGGATAGGGACGAATGTTAAAATTTGAAGTATCCTATTTAGAGAGAGAATCGTTGGTGGCTGAGCAACGTGCGTGAACTGAGTTGTGCCCTGTAAATGCCGTGTCCTGTGTCTTGGACAATCCGGGTGTCTGCAGGTCAGCTGTGAGCACCAGGTGCCCATACTGTTAGCGAGGGGACAGAGCCTGCATGTGGAGGGCGTCATAGGTGTCCTTGGTGGCCGTGCTGAGCCCCTGCGAAGCCAGAACACAAGGGGAGAGTGAGCCCCGTATGGTGGGAAACACTTCCGGGTGCTTTCTGAAGCCCAGCCACTGACCACCCACCTTCCAGGCCCAAGTCAGCCATCCAGCTCACAGGTGGGGAGGCTGCACGAGGAGGATGTCAGAACAACTGACCCTCTGCTGGGCTTCCCAAATGCCCTACCCCCAGAGCTCGGAGCCTCCCAGCGCCCTTCTAGCACTGACCAAACAGCACTGACCACCTCCCAGCACTGGGAGCAAGGGTGCCTCCTTGGCTTTGGCTGATAGAGCTCCCCTCCCTGGTATAGGGCTGAAAGGAGAAGGGTTGACAGACCCCCCCCCATAAAAACCAAACCTGTTGTCGACTGCATCTAAGCCTGCCCCACATAGGTTCTGTAGCACCTCTGGCCTCCCTGTGAAGGCAGCACCCCCACTTTAGGATGCTGTGAGCACTAAGCAGCCCGGGGAACCAGCACTGAGGACCTCGGAGTACCAGCAATGAAATAATTATGCTTCTTTTTGCATAATTATTTGCCCTGATCTGCATAAATTAGGCATTTGAAAACAATAACATCGTATTGTTTTCTTAAATTCCCCCTCCCTGCCCATCCTCCTACTCTTACTCAGTCTGAGGACAGAAAGAATCTTCAGGAAGGGCCTGGGGAGTGGACGCACATAGGCCAAAATTCCTGTGTGGTTTCCTTCTACTGCATCTCAGCAAGACGCCACCCTGCAGCAGCTCTGTCTGCTGTGAGCCAGCAACGCTGGGCCCCGCGGCCTCACTGGAAGCCGAGTGGTCACAGCTCCAACAGGGAGTCCCTGCTCAGCCCTAGGGATTTGCCCACGTGGCATCACCACAGGGCTGTATTCAAGTCCCAGGACTTGCCCTGTAAGAGCTGGTGCTGCCAACAAGCCTGAAGTGGGAGCTTCGAGTGCCCCTTGTCAGCTGCCACCTCTGAAAGGAGGAGCGGTTGCCGTTCAGAGGCCCGTATCCACACTCACCTGGTAAAGGCCTTCTTGCCCTTTGCCTCTCCGCCGCTGGTTCTTTGAACGTGAAATGAAAACAATGTCAGTGATTCAGGCAGTCAGGAGTGGCACAGCTGCCGGAGGGGAGTATCTCCAGCCCCACATCCGCCCCTGATCTTTGGTTGACCTTGTCCTTCTGCAGGGGACAGTGCGGCCTGACACTGACTGGGACGAGATAGGTCTACCTGGCTCGGCTCTGCCGGTGAGGTTCCTAGGATCTGGGCTACACTGGGGCCTGGCTTTGTTGGCCACTACCCGGAATAAACGGGCCTCCCTGCAGCTCTCAGAATTCTTGGTGATTCAAAGGCACTTACACAACCAGATGGGTCACAGCTACAGCTTTGGCCATGGAATCTGTGTAAACCTGGGTTCTCCAACCCGGGTGGAGGTGTCTGACCTGTGTTGAGGACTCTGACGTCCTGTACCCCCTAGTGCCCATTTGCCACTGGGTCACTGTGGACATCAGCAGGCTGGAGGGACCAGCCACGTGGGCTGAGTTTACTGTGCTGATGCTCTGATGTGAGGACTGTGTGTGTTAGGGGCTCTGGGCCCGCACCTCCAGCTCTGCAGTTACGAACAGTAACAGATGTGACATGCTTTTGTAAAGCTAAGGCTGTTTTAGGATGCACGTTGGGTTTGTAATCCTAAAAGCATCAGCCCGTCCCTAGCGCCTCATGCCAGTCAAGCTGGGTGAAGCAGTGTTAGCCTTTGACACCAGCGTCCGGCCATCATGTGAGCTTCACAGGTGCTCTGAGGACAGGACAGGGATGGACTTTGTTGGAGCAACTGTCCGTGGCAACCCTTCCAGATGCATCAGCAGCATTCTCACCTCGCCTTTCATCCCGATCTCACTGTAGGCCTCCGCCATCTTGTTCTTCTGCAGAGACTGGAGAAGAGGGAGCGAGATCACAGTTTGTAACTAGGGCCGAAAGCACTGAGCTCCCCTGCAGGAAGCAGCCTCCCGATGCTCCAGATAGCGAGCAGCTTCTACAATCAAGACTCTGAGCCTCCTTCACAAACAGCTCTGCTGCAACCAGCTCCAACCCCACCCTCCCCAGGCCTGATCCTTTGGACAGAGCCAAGCTCAGATTATACTCAGAAAGACAAAATGTTCTAACAAAAGGGCAATGTAAGGGAAGCCCTCCTGCAAACAACAACAAACCAACCAACCAATATTCATAGAGTAGATTATAATTCATGGCAAACTCATGTGCTATGAGGAGAACCTCCCCTACAGGGCCTTCTTGGCTGTGATCCTTAAAACACATCACCAGGCCTTTCTTCCACAGCACCACCGGGTTATCTCCAACCATCAACCTTTAGGTCACTGCTAGTCTAGAACAAACCTTTTGCACAACCCAGGCATTTATATATTTGAGCCAGTTATCTCTTCACACAACTAACAAAAGCTGATAACAGGAGGGAAAAGAAGTTCCCTTCACTCTAGGTTACTGACAGAGAGGTGCCCACCCAGATAGGGGATGGTGAGCTTGACCTTTTGAATAAAAAGAATGCTGAGCAGAATACCCAGGAACAGGAGGTCCTGAGAGAGGAGCCTGCCCACTCGCCACCCCAGCCTTCCAGGCTGACAGACCTCAGAACTCCAGCAGCAGGATCAAGGGCTGAGGATGAGAAGGACACTCCACTGCCCAGCTAAGGGGCTTCCTCTAAGTCATCTGGTCCCAGGAAAAGGAGCTCAGAGGGGCAGAGCAGAGTGTGAAGAAAGGGCTTCCCCTGTGCCCACCTCTCACTCTCTGTTCCCCTGTCCAAGGTCAAACATAAGAGTCCTTCTACTCACATTGTACAAACCATCCTGAGGGTTCTTTCTCCTCTGCTAAGAAGGAAAAAAAAGAGAAAAGTTTAAGAAAAGGGAACTCAGGTCTTTTTTATAATTTTTTTTTATTTTATTTCATTATTTTTTGTGTGTACCATCAAATCAGATCTGACTGATACAGGAGATTGTTCCTCCGTCTCCAGCAGAGCATCTGGTGGATTCGAACCACATACCTCTGAAATTTCAGTGCAACTTCTTGCCACTAGGCCACCAGAGCTCGCCTGGAACTCAGGTCTTGAGAGCTACAGCCCAACTCCCCAGGAAGCTCAGCTGCTCCATGAGACATTCCGCTCCCCAGCCACCCCTGGTTTCTGCTTGGCCTCCGCCCTGCACACCTCACTCTTCACCACGCACACTGGTGTCCTCTGCAGGACAGGGGCTCTGAGCTGGGGTTCTTCCCTGACCCTCACGGATGCATCCTGGCTCTTCAGCCCTGGCACACACCTGCCATCAACCTCACAATCTTGTGCCATAAGATTACAAGTGAGATGTTTTCTTTCTCTCTGTGGTCCCAGAATTTTGATTGAAGATGAACCATGTGTGTACCCCTCGGTAGGAGCCTGACAGGATCTGCCACTGTCCAGCAGGTCCGGCTGAGAGAAGAACCACCCACTTATCTCCCCAATGGACCCACTGTCTCCTTATCCACATACAAGGGGCATGGGCACAGCTGTGGACCAAGGATGAGGAGGGAAGACCATAGAGGGAAGACCAAGGAAGAGGGAGAACTGTGGAAAGGGAAGGGCCACGGAAGAGGGAAGGGAAGACGACAGAAAAGGGGAGATCACAGAGGAGGAAGAATCATGGAGGGAGTGAGGCCCACAGAGGATGTTTTCCCCAATGTGCCTATTCACTCTAACACCCCATGCCAAGTGGAGCTCAGATAGACTGTAGGGAGCTGGGGTCAGGTGTGAACCAGAGCACAGAGGTCTCTGAGCAGTGTCAGTTCCAGCTCCTGTGCTGGGCCCTGGTCTGCAGAGGACCCTGATCAGGGCTCTTCCAGAGACAAGAGGCCAGAACACTGGAAAAGAAACCTTGGCCATGGTCTGAGTATCAGGGACCCAGAATTCCTGTCCCAGGGCCTCGCCCTTATCTGCATGGCTCCATTCACCAGGCCAGGCCTCCTGGTGCACAGAGGCCAGCTGTGCCCATCTGAGAGCGGTCAAGTCGGCTGTGGTGGTACAGGGGGTGGAGCATGGGGGGTTCCACATGCACCAGCGAGGGGCCCTGTGGTGCAGAGTGTAGCCCAGAGAGAAAGAAGAGGAAGGCCAGAAAACGGAAAACTCCATTCCTCCTCTCACTCCTGGCCCACCCACATTAGGGTCAAGTCCAGCAGTGGGGGGTGGGCACTGGGGCGGAGGACTGTCCCTTCCCTGTCCAGGTTGAGCACCCACCCCTTACCACAGGGTCTCACAGGAATCACCTACCTGTTTCCCTCCCATCTCAGGATCATGGTCCCGGCCCCTCCTCTTATCCAAAATGTCATACTCCTCTCGTCTTCCTAAATTCAGCTCCTAAAACAGAGAGAATGTCAAAGGACAAGCTAGGGTCCAGCAGAAAATGGAACCTCAGGAGGATGAGGCCAGCCAAGTGTTTCCCACGAGGTGGTGACTCAGTGAAGAAGTGAGCAGGGGCTGCATGTGTGTATGTGGTGCGGTGCGGTGCGGTG